AAGTAAACTTCTTAAAAACTTAAACTATTTAAAGGAAAACACTCATGATCTGGGTTTCCAATGGCAAAAGCCAACAGAAATTTTATCAGGAACAAGTATTCTACCCAGCAGTGTTGAAATTGAAACATCATTATTTACACGCTTATTTATAACATTTTTTATTCATTTGGATTATACCTACCTATTATTTAAAACACACACACACACACACACACACACACACACACACACATTTTTCAACATATAATTCAAAGCAATGTAATGTTTCTATTGTCCCTAACTGGCATCCTGTGGGGAAGATAACTATCTTATTCTGTGTTAAAACAGCACGTTATATGGTTAGCACAATAACTCATGTCTCAAAAGTACTCTTTGAAATATTATATACAGAATTTGTTTGTCTCCATTTAGTGCACACACAACTGTCTCCATTTGTTTAGTTGCCAAAATAAAATACTACTAAAATAATAGCATATTTCCAAATGAGATAGAAATGGTTAAACTCTTCCTTTTATAATTGAAATTTGCCATGTTTAAGTGCCTAAATGTAATTATGGAAAAAAAGAAATTTCCTCTGCTTATATACAAAGTAATATTTTATTGTAATAGTCATCTTGAATTGAAATGAGTTTACCTGTGTAGTGTAGATGGCCAGCATGCATTTTAATCCTATTTCCTGTATAAACAGCAATTCAGAGTCTATGACAAGAAGGCAATATTTCTATAGTATTATCCAAGTACAGAGCATGTTGTTCTCATAATATCCTCTGTCACTTGCCCTTCTTGCAGAGATTACAGCTCTTTCTTGCCTCATTAAAACTCAAGGAACATGCTGATGTAATTTTCATTTACTCACTAAAGCTTACCATTTTTAATTGAATCAGAATACTTGAACTTTTAGAAATTTTAAGATTTATTTTCTGTATTTCTAGGCTTATTTTTCTTAATTGTGCATTTTGCTGTCAGATCCATTTTTAAAAATTAGTTTGCCTTTGCACTTAAAATAAGTATTAATTCTAATGAGTGAATCTCTGTACGGTGAGAAAGGAAAAGTGATATGAAAAAGAGAAAAAATATGGGTACATGTGATGGTTTTTTTCTTTAACTTATTTTATATGCTTCCTGACACTGTGGATACAACAGGGAAAGGGGTCCACTGTGTTTTTTCTCCATCCTTTTTGTGTGTGCATTCATTTGCTTTATTTTTATTAATCATATTGTTTTTATTATCATTACCAAATACTGACCAAATAAAAATTTAAATACTATATGTAGGGCATAAAATACAATACTACAATAACTACCTATTTTCTTACCCAGTTTAGAAAATGAAACTTTATCACCATTGGGAAGACTGCTCCCTGATACTACACATTTTCTGCTCCATCATCAGGGAATTCAAACTTCCCTGAATTTTGAGTTTAATATTTCTTTCTTTCATATAATTTTACCAAATATGCTATACATATTTATTTCTTTCAATAAGATATTCTTTACTTTTTATGAATATGTATATTATGTTTTCACTTCCAAATCTTCTGTCGTTTTTTGACTATTATATTTCTGAGATTGATGCATGCTGTGTTTAGCTATAGTTCATTTCACTGTTGTACAGTATTCCACAGTGTGAATATACATTCCTTTATACCTTCTATTAATAACAGATTGCTTGTTTTGAGTACTTTGCTACTGTAAATAAAGATGCTGCAAACAGTTTGCACATGTGCTCTAGCACACACATGCAAATCTTTCTCTAGTGCAGTGGTTCACACATTTTAGCTGTATCAGGATCACCTGAAGGGCTTATTTTAAACACGATCGTTGAGCCTTAATCTTAGTGTTTCTAATTTTGTGTGACTGTGATGGGTCCCAAGATTTTATATGTCTAGCAAGTTCCTAAGTGATGCTGATGCTGCAGGTCCGGGAACTAACTCTAAGAACAACTGCCCTGGAGTATATAGCTATGAGTAGAATTGCCTGGTCATGAAAAAACATCAATCTCAAATTTATTATATAATGCCATGTTATTTTCCATATATTCCATTATATCAATATAGACTTCCACCAGTAATGTGTATAAATGTTTTGATTTCTCCATATCCTTGCCAATATCTGTTAGTGTTGTGTTTTTTAATTCCTGCCAAACAGGTAGGTGTGACCTATTGTCTCCCTACAGTTTTGATTTTCACTTCCCTGATTGAACAATAAAGCTGAGTGTATTTTCATATGTTTGTTAACCATATATTTTTCCTCTTAGTTCCTTTTCTTCATTTTTCCATTGGATTAGATTTATTTTTCTTACCAATTTACAGAATTTTCTCTATGATCTTTTAATGAAGACTCTTACATTTCATTTTTACTACCTACTATTTTTTCTTGACGGGTTTAGGAGAAAATTGCTTGTAATTTTTCATCCATTTTGCTTAAAGGCTGAACATGTAGTTTCTTTGTAGGTGCTCAATATAGATGTGATAATAACCATAGAATTATTTACTAAAAGCTTATCTATACCAAGTATCATATTATCTGATGAAGACTCATTCACTCCAAAACACTGTTTCAAAGTCAAAGCACAGCTTTTTCACTTGTTCTCCTATATTAGCCTCCCATCACTCCCACTCTACCTCCTCCTCTCCCACTTCTACCTTGTCTCTCCTACAGCTATTCCCCACTAAACACCCAGACTAATCTTTGCAAAGCACAAATCAAATCATCTCCTTCTCTGTGCAAATCCCTCCAATGGTTTCCCTTTATTGCACTTAGAATAACATTTCAATTCTTTGTCGTGGTCAAAAAAACCTAGAAATACTTCTCCATTCTTATTTTTGCCATTCTTCCCTTAAATAACCAAAGTGTAGCCATTCTCACCTTGCTGTTTCTCAAATGGTCTAAATGTATTCTTCTTTCAGCAATGCCCTTTTCCCAGACATTCCTCAGAAGGGCTATCCAGACGACCCCATTTAAAATAGTTCTCTCTTCTCTTCTTCACACACATATACTCCCCACTCTTGCTGTATTTCTTTTCACAGAACTTTTCAACATCTGACATTATATTAGATATTTAATTTTTAATCATCTCCCTTCGTCCTCTAATAAAATGTAATCACAATAGGCTAATAAGATTTTTTTATTCATCCTAATATCTCAATGCCTAGGAGAGTTCCTAATAACAATTATGTTCTTTACAAATATTTACTATATAAGCTAATGAGTTCTCACACAATCCTCGCAGTCCTTTTAGCTATATAATTCTTGAAAGCAGAGACCGGATATTATTCATCTTTATGCCCCTAGGATCCTAATACATGCTCTACAACACATTTAATCACTCAATAAAACTATACAAGCCAATTAATAATGCACAAAGTAGGATTAGGCTTGTTTCACAGATAAGAAAATTGTAGTGCTTGCTTAAAAACACAGGATCTGTTAGTCTTTAAAGCTATTCCGCTGTGCCACATTCTCTCTCAGCTTTACATCACAGCACACCAATGAGACATTGCAATCAAGATGACCAGATGGGTTAGGATGGTTCACACCAGTAACACAGCCTGAAAAACCTGTGACCACCAAAGAGCCCAGGAGATGAATTAGAATCCTCACTTTCCTATTTCTAAAGGAAGATCTTTTTCCATCTTCTATCACTTGGAAACACCTAAGGGAGAGAATATTTCTTCATTTGTTCAAAGTAGCCACACACTTTGGTAATATTTGAAAGGAATGGTAAGTTTTATAATGTTTAAATTTTATTGAGCTATTTCTTATTTTGAATGGTGATTTGGGTGCAGATGTTTAACTCTGTCCTCTTCTAAGTTCCCACCAAAATGACAAACACGAAAATATCTAGAAAACCTCCACGTAAATCCTGGAAACAAGCAAAATGAGACCATATATATGCCAGAAATTTCTGGGAATTTCTGTTAGAAATACAAATCCAGATTAAATTAATTCATCTGGGATTAAATACATGTAAATTAAAAGAATATTTAATATAAATATAAAAAGGTAAGATTAAGAAGAATCAATGATCAAACAGGAAAAAAATCCCTACACTGAAAACAGAATTAAAGCATCAGATCAAAAAAAAATTCTTTTTCAAGTACTAGGCTAAGATTTTCATTTTGTTTGTTGTTAATTTCAAAGCCAACATTTAAAGTGAAATCTATACATTTCCATGCAGAAAGAAAAAGTAGCCTTTAAAATGCCAAATAATAGAGAAATGCTTACTTCAGTTTAAAATAACTTGAAACATTTTAGTTAGAAGTTCAGAGATCTATTGTACAACATGGTGACTAGAGTTAATATAATGTACTCTTGCAAAATTCTAAGAAAGTGGATGTAAAGTGTTTTTGGCACAAAAATGAAAGATAACTATGTGGGTTATCATTTGTCATTTATCTATTTGTCATTAGAATCTCTCCCTTTCACAGGAGATTAATCTATTTGTCATTATCTATTTGTCGTTAGAATTATCTTCCTTACACAAAAGGCGAAACGTTAAGAAACAATAGAGTAAGGTCTTAAGAATGTGTCACCTACCTAAATGATAATATGTGAATAAGAGCAAAAGAAAAAATTAAGAACTGTAATAAAAATAGCAAAGAAGAGGTATGAAAATAGTGAGTGATAAAATTAGCAAAACTTAAAATTAGGTATAAGATTGTTCTTAGAAAAGTTACAAAACACAATGTCCCAAAAAAAATTCTATAAAGAGAAGAGACTCTTGCAAAATCTTACTCCAAAATCTTCTAAACAAATCTTGGAGATCACAGGAAGAAAGGATGAAGAAAACTGTCAAATTATCTGCTCACACAAAGGGAAGGTGTGCCAGTCCTTGTCCAATTTTCTCTCATATCTACTGTTTGCCTTACCCTGGTCCGTTCTGTATTACAGGGAAAGATTCCTACGGCCAGCATTTCTGGCTGGGGTTAGCATATTAAATAAGTTAAGAGGAAATAAGAGAGTAGAAAGAAAAGAAAATCAGGAAGATTTTCCCCTACCTCTGCCTTGAGTGGCATCTCTAACAGCAGCTGCAAATCCATCATGGTACCAGCTTCGGCCAGGTGACCTGAACAATGATAAAAATCTATTATATGAAAAGAAGGTGAGTTATGCTATCTTCCAAAAAATAATTATCTAGATGAAAATGCTATAATTCCAATTTGAATATTACATCTGGAAGTTATTCCTATAAATGTAAGAAAAGGAATATTGTTAGATTTATTGCTGGCATTTTAATAAAAGCTCTCATTTCTCATTCTAAGAGTCTTTTCATAGATATCTTTTACAAAAGGTCTGTTTTTAAATTGACAAATAAAATGATATTAACTGTGTACAACATGATGTTTTGGAGTATGTATACATTGTGAAATGAGTAAATTTATCTGATTATTAACATGTACATTATCTTACATAGTTATCCATTTTCGTGCCAAAAACACTTTACATCCACTTTCTTAGAATTTTTCAAGAATACATTGTATTAACTCTAGTCACCATGTTGTAAAATAGATCCCTGAACTTACTCCTCCTAACTAAAATGTTTCATGTTATTTTAAACTGAAGTAAGCATTTCCCTATTAATATTTGTTTATTTGTTCATTTTAGTTCCTGAGTTTTGCTGCTGTGAAAAGAAAAAAAAAATATATCATAATGCAATAAATATTCTTGGGTGTGTATGTGTGTAAGCAAATCAGGGCAGGTGATCATATTGAAAGGAATGTATTTCCAAGATTATAAAATTGTTCTGTCAAAAGATATGTACAGATCACTTTTCCAAAAGGGCAGAAATTTTTCACCTAACCACTAGCAGTAAAAGAAAATATTATTCTGTTAGCATCCCTACCAGCAACAGATTTCACCATACTTTTAAATTTTTGCCAGTCTTATGAGTATAAAGAGATATATAGATTTTACTTCAATTTATATCTCCACAGTTACTAACAAAACCTGGAGACATTTTATATTGGCAACTTCGATAGCAATTTTGTAAATTGTTGTTCATATACTTTTCCTATTGGGCTTTTAACATTGTTGTTTTAGTTCATAAGATCTCTTTTTGTCATAGATAAGTGTTTCCAATGCTTTTTACCTCATGACAACCAGAGAATTATATTTCTATATCATAATGGGGTAAACTGACTTAGCTGCAAATGTGTTTGTACCTTACCATGGGTAAATGGACTATGAGGCTGCTATTGACTGGGCTACAGTAGCCTGGAGATCCTAGCCACCTACCAGATGAAAGGAATTCCAAAAGAATCAACATCTTGTCAGAGCTATAACTCCTATCTGGTCTGGTCACATGAGGTATTATTATAAAAAGTCTCCTAATTTATTATTTATTTAACTATTGACCTTATCCATCTAAAATTTTTACATTTTGTATGATCTAAAAATTTTACATTTTGTGTTGAAGCGTTCAGATTCCATGCCTTTTAAGTAATTTCCTTTCACTTCTGAATTTTACTGTAGCTTTTAAAAGGTTTTCATCCAACATTTTTACAAACCACATATTATAAAACTCTACCATTATTCTCCCTGCATGTGAACATTTTAGAGGATACCAAAGTAAAGAACAAAAATAAGAGAAACTTCTAATTTATGACAAATTATAGATACTTGTACTGGCTAAAATGAAACTAACATAAAAAAAATCTGAAATACTTTGAATTAGGCACTATTTTAATATTTTTAAGAGAAAAGAATATGGTGTCATCTAAAAAGCTGGGACATTTTTGTTTTAGGTGCTGCTCAGTCCCTGATGTGGGAAGTCTAACAGTTTCTCAGGATCTCAGTGTTAAAACGTAAAAGATGTTTATTCCATTAAACAAAGTCATAGAGATTTCTTGCCACTCTAACAATCTGCAATTCTACTAATTTGCTGAGAATTACATGTTAATCATTCAGAAGAAACCAAAGGAAATATATTTTTGGTAGTATTTCCTTGGGGAAGCCCAGTGAAGATAATTCCCAGTGTTAGAAACTCGATTTTTATGTCACCCATGAGATTTCACAGTTTACAAAAAGTATTACCTCAGGGATATGTATTTAAAAAGAAATTCAAAAGACATAAATAAATTATGGAACACTAGGCAACTTGTAGAGGCATTTGGTCCATTCTTTTCATGTTATGCAACAGACTTTCATGAATCAAGATCAGTGTTCAAAATAAAGAGAGACATCAAAGCCACATAAGTATAACTGAAAATTGCATAGATTCTTAAGAATTACTGGAACTTGGGGTGATAATTTAAACAAACAAACAAAATACTAGACTGCTTCCACAACACTGACCAGAATCCAATCCTTATTTGATTCTGACAAAATTCCGTTAATCTTTCATCAGTTTAATAGTTTCACTGATTTTACTGAGAGCCATAATATATCATTTTTAATACAGTGCATACCCTAGGACAAAAAGGATGTTATTCCTATTATAAAAGTTGATCATATGCCCATTAATACTAACATCTGAACAAAATATCTTTGCTGTAATCACAGATGAAATTTGTTTCTTCTCCCCTTTCCTGTTCAAGACATGTTTCGTCTGCCTCCGAAGGATCCCTTTAAAATCTCTCTCCAAATGAAGTTCATTTAAGTGAGCTAGCATACATGACCCTAAGAAAAAATCAAAAGAATCTACCTTTCAAGGTCTAACTCTAGTCTGGACCCTTTCCCTCTAGGAAATCTTTCCAGATTACCCAAGCTACAGTGTTGTCTCTCTCCTCTAAATTCACAAAACTCTTTATCTAAATCACTCACTTAGAAATTAATTGCACACTCTTGTTTTCACATTGCACTTTCATTGCAGACTCCCTTTTTTTCCCATTTTACTTTCAGGTTTAGATTTCTATTTATTTTTTCAAACCTTTATAGTTTTTCTTCCCAAGTAATCTCTAACTAAGATAGTTGAGAACAGAACTTTTGTTGCAATCTTGAGACCCAACTCCAATCAATTTGAACAATATCAGAGCAACAGAAAGGACAGAGTGAACCTGGCCCAGTAGAATTGGAAGCTAGAATGTGGAAGACATCAAGACTTCCCTATTCTATCTATTGTCTTTTCTTTAATTGGTTTTAATTCCTTCTGGCTGCAGTTCACTGGGAGGGGAAAATAACCAGAAGAAAAAAATGGCCACTGATAATTGCAGGCTGATTTTTTCTTTTTTCATTCTTTGTAAGCTCTTCACCCAGAGACACAACTCTCCAACCCCAATCAAAAAAATCTTTGGGCAGAAGACTGATCGATCCATCTTGGATGACACTGTCATCTGTGGATGGAGGACTATGGACTAGACCCTTTAATGGCTCAGCTGCAGTGTTCAGCCTGTGGTTAGGAGGAGTTGACCTGTACAACTTTTATGTCATGGTTGTGAAGGAATAGTTTCCAGGAGAATGTAAACGCTCTGGCAGACAAGGCAATGTGTTCAGCAGTATTTCATAACTAACATCATGCTTTTCACAAATCAGATGCTAGAAAATTACTGATTCCACTATTATACTACTCGATTTCTTAACAATTTTATTACAATATAATTAATATACAATAGCATTTACTTAAAGTGGTTTTTGTATATTCACAGAGTTGTGCAACCATAACCATGATCTAATTTTAGAATATTGTCTGAATATGAAACTTGGTTTTAGTCCAGTGAGAGTTCCAATGTACAAAACTGTAAGATAGTAAGCTGGGGTATTTTTAAGCCACTGAATTTGTGGTGGTTTATTATTGGTTTATAACAATAAGAAAGCAATATGGATTTAATCACCCTGAGATTCTATTTTCTCATATTTAAATTGAGCATAATAATGTATATCTCACAGGATTTTATGAGATTAAATATGATAATATGTGTGGTAGAAACTTCTAAAGACTCAGCACTAATAAATTTATCATTTACATTTTTAATTTTAATGTCCAAATATTTTACAGTTTATTATAAAAGATTATGCAAAATAAAACATTTGTAAATATTGTACAAAACGGTGCTTTCTACCACCCTCAGATAATGAATCCTTTTAGATAATTAGGTAACTGGGAATTAAGCACAAACACATTCTTTTAAATTCTAAATTTTTTTAAAGAATCATTTTGAATTGCATCATACACTTTTCCAGTTTCTTTTTTTTTTTTTTTTTTGAGACAGAGTCTCACTCTGTCACCAGGATAGAGTGCAGTGGTGCGATCTCAGCTCACTGCAACCTCCACTTCCTGGATCCAAGTGATTCTCCTGCCTCAGCCTCCTGAGTAGCTGAGATCACAAGCACGTGCCACCACGCCCAGCTAATTTTTGTATTTTTAGTAGAGACGGGGATTTCACCATGTCGGCCAGGATGGTCTCGATCTCTTGACCTCGTGATACACCTTGGCCTCCCAAAGTGCTGGGATTACAGGCGTGAGCCACCACGCCCAATGACAAATTGGTAGTGGTGGAATTGAAAACCATGCCCCCAAAGACACTGGAGACTTAATTCAGACTCTTAGACCACTCGGCCATGCTGCCTCTCCTTCATTTTCTTAAATACAGAACACCAAATGTAAATCAAATTTTTTGTGTCCTTGGGTTATCATGATGCATTATTTCACTCAGTTATAATCCTGTTGTACTCTCAGGGTCTGGAAGCTCTGTAGGTGTTATTTGTTTTTCCACTTGGGTTGGTTCCAAGTCATTGTTATTGTGAATAGTGCTGCAAAAAAACATAGGTGTGCATGTGTCTTTACAGTAGAATGATTTACAATCCTTTGGGTATATATCCAGTAATGGGATTGCTAGGTCAAATGGTATTTCTGGTTCTAGATCCTTGAAGAATCGCCACACTGTCTTCCAAAACGGTTGAACTAATTTACACTCCCACCAACAGTATAAAAGCCTTCCTATTTCTCCACATCCTGTCCAGCATCTGTTGTTTCCTGGCTTTTTAATGATCACCATTCTAACTGGCATGAGATGCTATCTCATTGTAGTTTTTATTTGCATTTCTTTAATGACCAGTGATGAGGAGTTTTTTTTCATGTTTCTGTTGGCTGCATAAATGTCTTCTTTTGAGAAGTGTCTGTTCATATCC